TCTTTCTGAACGTCGACCGATGAGACGATGACTGTCGTATTGATCCCTCCGCGAAAATTGGGGAAGTCGGGTTTCAGCACACAACCAAGAATTGATCGTCTAATCTTCAACTATATTGACACCCCCTAATGAGGGATACGCTGAGGCTATGAGCATATTACGTCAAAGGTTTGGAAGACCTTCTGTGATTGTAAGGAACATAGTCAAGGCTGTCAAAGGTAACGGCAGTCAACTGCAAGATGACTCCAAGGCACTCACTGAGTTTTTGGATAATCTGATGACTTATAAGAATACCTTGATTTCGATGAATTGCATGAGTGACCTCAACTCGAGTTTTATACTAGAAGTAATAGCAAAACGCCTACCTACTCGACTGCAAAGGAAGTGGGTGAAGATAAGCTCCCGTATGGAGGATGAGGGTATCGAGCCAAGGTTTGATGATATCCTGAAACTAGTAAAAGATAGTGTCAATCAATCTATGAGCAAGTTTGCCAGTATATTGAATCTCACCCCTAGAATAGAGCAGTCTGAGAGCAAAACGCAATCATTGATGACGAATAGGCCTCAGAGAGGTGGATATCGAGAAGGCTCCATGATGTCTAGTAATGCATATAGACCTAGTGAGTGTAACAGGTTTCGTAGTACATCCTCAACAGATAAGTTACAAGATGCAAGACAAACACGGTTGTGTTTTACACGTTTGCAAGAGGTGCATACAAAGGTGAACTGTGAACCAGTAAGCAAGTTCAGTGATAAGCTAAATGTAAACTCCAGGTCTGACTCCGAATTGTGTGACGATAACGGTGCGGTCAAGAAGTCTGTAGTTGCAACTGGTAAGCCATTGTTGAATAGAGTGTCACAGAATAGAGTTACTGCTTCAGAGTGCAGTTCTGACCCTACAAGTTTACAAGGTATTACTAGTCAGAGTGAAGGTATAAAATCTTTAGGGATTTGTGTGGGAGAACCCAAATCATCTACTGCTGTTATTAAAGAGTTTGAACATGATGAAGTCGACCAGATAGATGATGGTAAATTGAATATTTGTGATAATGATCATGATACTTCACAGTTGTCTTTGGATGATCATGATGAGATGAGGGATATGCCTACTACTGCTAAGTTGAACAAGGGTTCTGTACAACTTGAACGTGAAGTAGAATTGAATGCAGATGCAGTTGCAGAAGGCATGCATACTTGTCAGACCGTCAGTGTAAGTGATCAGCGTGTAGCCCACCTATCATCAGATGATAGTGCTAAACCCGAACTAGTAGTGAAAGACAGCAGTGGTGGTAATCTTGCAGTTAGACAACTATTTGAAAGCCGAACAAGAACAGCTTCTGATCCACCGCTAAGTTCATCAACTGGTATCAATCAGTCGTCGTTGGTGTTGTCATCCACAATGAAACAGACGCCCATCAACTCAAGTATCTTGTGCAATGACTATGCTAGTATTGGCGCGTTTGAAAAGACGAAAGATATTGCTCAGTTTAGTGAGAATAAGCCAAGTGTAAACGAGAGAGTAATTGTTAAATTGACTTGCATGAATAAAGGCATTTCTAGTTTCAAGTTACTATTTGAATGCTATTATCTTTGGTGTAAATTACTCTGTGCCTACGCTTGGTTGACCAGATACGTCGTATGTTTGTTCGTCATCTATATTCTACGATACAATGACATGAGCGCGTTACCGTTCAGATTTGAGGATATAGCTGATAGAGGGAAGTCAGCAAATGAACTCTGCGACGATTTTCCAACCTAGAGCGTCAACCTGAGAAGGGTTGTAGGCGTACTGCTGTAAGTCCTACAATTCTTCAAAGGGTAGCGCATCAATGAGCAGTCCAATGTGCTTGGTGTGTGATTTTGTACATATGTTCATATTGTATATACTGAATTGATATCATCTGTCATCTAGCTGTTGGTAATTCTGTTTGTGTCCGGACGACTTCCACTTGGATCATCAACCTGAGAAGGAATGTAGGCGTACTGCTGTAAGTCCTACAGTTCTTCAAGGGTAGTTCGTCAAGGCAGAATCCACCACATTTGATGTGTTGATTGTACATATGTTTGTGTTAAATAGTTGTGTGAGTTCCAATTATTGTAATTGTTGGTTAATCTTGTTTGTGTCCGGACATTCCACAACTTACAATCGTCAACCTGTGAAGGGTTGTAGGCGTACTGGTGTAAGTCCTGCAATTCTTCAAAGGAATTCCATCAAGACATGATCTGCGAGGTTATTTGTACTGTTTGTGTATGCGTGTGGTGTGTCTTCTCAATTTGTGATTTTGGACTAATTGTGTTTACTCGTTGTTTTCGTACCTTAATGTTATTGCATAATTTTGTTAAAATTTTCGTCGTGATTACTTCTGAAGTTGTTTCTAGTCTTCTACGTTCATGAATGAATTGATTGATGTTAGAGACAGCAGATGGGTCGTATACGCTGGGGAGGCTATTGCTGAGAATGAAATGCATACGGAGATAATTGTTAGCTGCGGTCCCACACGCCGGGGCGAAAGAGTGAAAACGACTGAGGCTCGCATACGTCACCGCTACTAGAACTGAGGCAGAATGAGTGACAAGCGATTGCAGTGGTAATTGGTAGTGAATAGATACGAGGACGTGCGTGGAGTATCATGAGGTGCTGCTATGGTCACGTTGCATTCTGCAAGAGTCATTCTAGCAAGTGGCGATTGTAATGCGAATGTCAGGAGGAGGCCTTTTTCTGGAGGTGCAGGTCGTCATCGATGTGTGAGATTGTGCTGTGGGTATGCTTGTGGTGTGTTGGCTTTTCTGTTTGTTTTCCATTTCAGCTCTGTCCGTGTGACCCAGGTTCTCGCAATGGCATCCAAGTCAACGTGTATTGGTCGTGATGGAAAAAAGGGATGGACCCCTTTTTGCCGGGAGTGTCAATGTAGTTGAAGATTGAACGATCAATCCATGGTTGTTTGCTCAAACCCAACTTCCCCAATTTTCGCGGAGGCATCAATACACCAGCCATCGTCTCATCGGTCGACGTTCAGAAATCACGTACAAAACCGTGAGAAGTAATATTGTGATTTATTATTGTAATATTTGTTCATAGACGTTAGTTGCAAAGTTATCGAAATGTTGGTGTTAGAATAAAGAATTCTCGAGTGGCCAATCTGTGTTCTGGTTTTTGCGTCCGTTCGTACTAAGCGTTTCTGAGAAGCTTCGAGGGACAGCGTGAGTCCCAGCGTAGGATGAGCTGGGCATTGACGGTTTATGTGACGGTCTGTGACTATCCCTTTTATTTGGCATCTAGTTTTTGGTTTTTGTAATAACACTCATACTTCTGACTTCTTTATATGAATAATATATCCCAATTTTACGTACACGAGGCATCCCGGTTTAGAAATATCATAGATATGATAAATAATACGCACAAAGTGTGAGCATGTTTGGAATTTTCATTTACACCTCAAGACGAGTCCAGGCATGTTTATCAGAAATTCATTCAAAGAGAAGCGGGTGAACCTCGGCGAGCTCCACAATGGATTCAGTGAGAAAAGGAAACAAAGACTACAGCACCATATAGTTCGAACCGACTCTCAACTATACTGTATGATGCGGGGACGATTGTGGTTGTTTGATGCAGACAAAGTATTCAAAGGGATATTACCCTCACAGTAAGAATAACCGTAATTGTTAATGTTAATGTCTGAATACTATTCCCACATTGATTTTGAGCACGTATTTAAATAACTGTGTTATCTGCTACAACTTTTATTTGTTTGTAGCTTGTACGTTTTGAATTGATGAATTTCATAGCCTCTGTGTTTCAAACTGAAGTCGCATAGGACAGCAGTATTTATGCTGACTCTTTTTCAGTCTGTGGCACTTTGAGATTTAGGCATGTTCGCTGCCCTTAGCAAGATGTCTTCAATTTTTAACACTTTGCTATCCGTAATATTGTGGACTACCACAACTTATTTTATATTTCGTCTTCTGGTAACCTCTATAATGATGAAGTTTTTCAGGTTGTCTACCTTGGTTACTGATTGTATCAAGTTCGCTAGGGTTTACGGTTCTGGTTAGGATGATGATAGTGTGAGTTCACAAACCTGAGATGTTACGTCAGTAGTCTCTGCTAGTAGTTGAGACACGCTGACCTGATTTTCTGGCCCTCCTGTATTCTCAGACTTTCTACATCCAATTTCCCGCATCTCAGTCTTCAGCTCTTCCATAAACAATTATAGTAGTTCTATTTCTGAAGTAAACATTGAAGCTGGACTTGTTGTCTGAAGCTTGATGATACAATCGCAGGGTGTAGTGAAGGGATCTATATCAGAAAAAGGTTGTTAGTTTGTGGGGGCGATGCTACTATTAGTCGTCAGCATATTTTTATTACTTGCTGGTATCCACAGTGTCTTACAGAGACACTGCAGTTTATTCGTGGGTTAAACCAAGTTGGAACACATCATAGATTAAGAACTGTCACCTTTCCTCCAAGAATTATGCTCCAAGAACTTGATTTGGTTTTCGATGGCACCAGTAAATACCAGTGAATATTGAATGCGGAGGAGCGCTCGATACAAACTCATGAGGACTCTCCACTTTGGACGTCATTTTAAATACAGCTTAAGGGGAAGGTTCCTTGTTAACTAAATATTTGGTAGGCTTTGTGTCCTTGTTTATGTGTTTTATATGTACATCTTAATGCCTTCTGTGCTAAAAATATTCGGTGATATAAATGTTTTATGCGTTAATTTATTCCTGGTTACAGCTTTAACTTCTGTATATTTGTATTTATATTGTGTTTATGACAAACTCAGTTAATTGAACTTAAGAGTTTTTCAAAAATATGGCTTTTAATCCTTGTTTAGGCACATATGAAGACGTTAGTCTGATTTTTAAATAGGATCTTTTTTCGACCATTTTAACATTTGTAAAATAACTCATTTCAGCCTTACAATTCTCATATCCTGGGAGTAATTACAAAAGGATAAACGAGTAGACGAACGGGTCACCTTACTACACACAAAATGGAGGCTTTCACGTATTTTATTGCAGAGAAGCTGAATACAGAAGCGGTGGTTATCCGTCTTATTCTCTCAATACTTATGGGTATGTTTTCCTAGATTATTAACTGTCTATACTACTTTTTAGGTTATCCTATCGCTTCCTTATATAACATGCGATCAGGTTCTTGGAGGGTTTTCTATCGACACCTTTACTTGTTTGCATGTGGTGTTACTTTATTTCTATGGAATTTCGGTATAAAGACTTTGCTAGCGTTATTTAATTGCCGTTTCTAGGTTTTGATATCGTGCATATGTTCATTGGGATATTTACTACAATGATTGTTAATTACTGTTTCGCGCATTCAAAAGTGGCAGTTATCTTCGCTTTTGTGTTTAATATGGTTTGTTTGTAAAAGATTTTTGTCATTGTTATTCAAGGCATATTTGGTAATTGGTTCACATATATGTAATCGTGGTACTTATGATATTAATTGGACAATGCCCTACTGTATCCTATGCTTGAGATTGATTGGATTGTCATGGGATCTTTACGATGCATCTAAACCAGAGGTGAGTTTTCTCTCGTTACTTAGTAAACCAATTTATTAGTTCTAAAGTTATTGTATTTTTGTATGAAGCGATGACACAAAACAAAACAAAACGAAATGTTTACATGAAATGGGCAGTGTTTATCCGTATTATTAGGATTATTTATTACCTTTATCTGTTTAAGCATGGTAATACGGTTCCGCAGTAGGGTTACGGTTCGTGAGTTCAGTCGATGGCTACAAACTTTTAATCATCAGTTGTAGCCCAACCTTACTTACAGGCTTTCTAACAAACATGTAGTCTCATTATTATTACCAATTGCATAATGCAAGACATCCATAACCCTATTTAATGTGGATATTAATTTTAGATACTCTTCCCTGCACCTTCCTGAATAGCTCTGGCTGAGTTTGCGTAACGTGCAAAACGCCTCAATTAATGCAATTGCACACATGAATTTCATATGCATTGCGTATTAATTGATTCTTTTTTTTCGATTTATCAACAAGAAGTGGAAGTTTAGTCATGCGCTGCTCAATGAGGTTGTGGCTTTTTCTCAATTAGGGTGCTGGATAATTGATTTAATACAACAGGAGGGATAATTTGATGTACAGACAATATGTTTTTAATTTAAGTGAGGTCGCCGACAAAATTCTGAGTCTTCTGCATATCCTTAGCAGGAGGCATGTTTTGCATTGGGCTTGCACCTATCCAACGCATTGATCGATACGAATTCTTATTTAGAAGATATTGGTCGAAATAATTGAATGTGCTGATGGCTTAAATTAGACCTCATTAGCCCTGATGGTTTGGTTGCTGGTGAAATCTCTTCTTGAGCAAAGGCACGTTTAACAATTGCTAACTTGCGTCATTTTTGGTGCAGGTGTAACATCTGTCTTCATATGAAAGGATATACCAGTTTAAGGTAAAATGTATGAAAAGAGTAGAAGTTTTGAGTTTAATCGTCTTCGGCCAACCACAATATAGTGAATAATAGTAAAGTTGGATGTGGAGTGTAAGGCATGAAACAAGTCTTTCTGCGTGGTTATGAAACTTTCGATTGATCTTGTTGTACATCCTTAGTCATCCTTAGCCTTCCAAAATGGTCAGTGTTAGCGGGAGTAAGTTTAGGTTGGGAAAGAAACCATAAACATTGATCTAAAACAGGGGATTGAAGTTTGTATGGTTGTAGAATTTTGGTGACATACCTCAAAATGGAGTAGATGTATGTACTCTTTGTCATCATCCAGATTCTGAAATGGCTCACTTCACTAAATTTGTCTAGCTCCTGTGTAATTTCGTCCATTGCATTCCCGTTACATTTCTGAACTTAGTACGCTTTCTCCAATTATTGTGATGCATTTCTGTGATAAGTTCTGTATTGTTTCTTGAGTCAAGGAAAGTATTGCACACAACTTTTTGTGTGATATTTGATACTATCCTAAGTGAGATTTATTTAAAGAAAAGAAGGAGTTTAGGTGGAGTAGTTATACTTGAAGTCCGTGACTGTTAGTCTAACTTGTGAAGAGAAATGTACTCTCTCTCTCTCTGCTTATGCCTCACAAGATCTCATCAATCAGTAACAGAATGACAATGACAAAAGTGTTCCCTTCGTATTTTGCTTGTTTTAATCTCGAACATTTCACTAGGGTTTTCTCCACTAAATCTTCGCCTTATTTGGTTTAGTGTCGTCTTCTTCAGCTGATTTGCTCTTCTTTTAGTGTTTCCATCTATCTTAGATTAAATTAGTGACCAAATCTTGGTTATAAATTAAACCATATCTTACTGATTATGTGTATTCGTGTGCTAAATTTACATTAACATTGTAAGATTCACAACTGTATTCTTTTTAGGCTGCCACAATTCATAACATTTTAGGATAGTAGAGATCTGGATGACGAATAAATTATGTGGAATGATCAAGCATCCCAGGATTTTAAGAAATCTATGCGTACATGAATCTGCACCATTGTATTATAAAGCCTACAACTATAGTTTTCAGCTTTCTAGTTTGGTTGTAAGCAGAATCTCTGGAATTGTTCAGTGATTTTTTAGATTAGTTTTTGTACGTACCAGGAACTCTATAGTACTGATAATTCTTCTGATTCCAAAGAACATTATACTTACTTTACTTCGGCTATCTCCTACGGGGGGATGAGCCGACTTCATGAACATCTCGAATCATCGCTGTCCAGGCGCGGCGATCTGATGCAAGGTTTTGCGACAGGGTTATCCAATTCTTGTTCCACAGACGGAGTCCGTAGACGGTTTGTAGCCCCCAGGCACTCCATATCAGCCTTGAGTGTACCAAGCCATGTTTTCAGCTGTCCACCCCTGCGACATCGCCAAGATGGAAATGGCGAGGGATTTAGAACTGATTTGACCAGATTGTCATCTGGTCGGCGCAGAAGATGGCCAAACCACCGAAGGCGACGTTGTTGGACCAGTACTGGAATTTGGTTGATGTTGTAGAGAGTTCATGAAGTTTCATGGAATTAGGTACGAGTGATGTCCCCAGAATCGCTCGGCCTTTTGTTTGAGAGTGCAGCTCTAGCCTTTACACAACCAAGTGTGACCTACAAGGCAGTAGGAGTGGCGTAGGGAGTCCACTATCCATTGGCACCCGGTGACCGGAGTCCGGTTCACACGCCTTTTTGAATGGGGTCAGACATCCAGGGCATCCAATAAGCCCTTTGTCCATACGTCTGCCGGTGAGCTTCATACACCAGTCGTTGGAGGTTTGGAATCAGGGTTTAGCCATCTCCCCTAGACTGTCATCCAATGGACAGTCAACCCGGTGAAGAGCGCCGGGCATCCGCTTTCGCCCTCCCACTTCGGTGAAAAACACCTCCGCCACGTGAAGGCAGTGAGTAGGAGTTCCTCAGGAGAGGCTATGTAAGACGCCCGGTCATATGGGAGCATTTGAAGAGGTGTGTGGAGGAGTGGCCAACCCGCAGAGTAGACCCACCCCGACCATCCTGAGGCTTTGGAGGCATTATTATACACGGATAATTTTGATTTCCTACTGTGATAATATTAACTTCGGTGGCTCGTCAACCACGCGCCACGTAGTCCAGGATTATGTCCTGGTTGACACACTCCTAAACCTCGCGTAACCGGTAGTAAGCCTGGTAATTATGGAAGATTGGGTGTGAGGCTAACAACTTGATCTCGTAAAATCATTTCTGCAACTGGATTCTCATAGCTCAAGCTTCCACTCCTAAGTTAAAGGGATAAAATCATATAAAATAGCTTGTTACCTCCCTTCACATTTATTTAGAACGAAATTATTCTCATCACATGCTTATATCTAAATGATGTTGATTATTTAAAATTTTGTTTTCAGGCACAACGTTCAGCTTCTCAGAAAAAGTCTGCTTTAGCTAAATTTCCAGGAGTAATGGAAACACTGGCCTTTTGTTTTACACCAACAGCTTTTCTTACTGGACCTCAGGTAAGTGATATTATTATTACTGTTTCCTTTAATTCCTAGAGGAACATAGGGCTTCAGCCGCGCGTCTTCATTGCGTTCGGTTCTCTGACAACGTTTTCACTTGGCTCCATGTCTGCCCACATGCTTTCATCTCCTCTTCACATGACCTCCTCCAGGTCACCCTTGCATTGACGACCAACTCGCCGCTTCCCTTACGGGTTCCACTTGAGGGCTTGCCTAGTGATGTCACTTGATGATTTGTTTCCTCAGAGTATGGCCAATCTATCTCCGTTTCTTCCTGCTTAGATGTTTCACAATCGGTTTCTGGTTGGTTCGCTTATTGCCAGAGATCCCTGTTGCTGATCTTTTCTGGCTATTTGATCTTCAGTATTGAGCGAAGACAATTGTTAATGAAGGTCTGTAGTGTGTTTGAGGTGCTTTTTATGACGCGCTAAGTCTCTGATCCGAATAGTAAGCAGCACTGACTTCACATTGGAGTTGAAAATCCGGATCTTATTTTTGATGGTGAGTACTGTTGACCTCCACACAGGCTTGAGAGTAATGAAAGCTTCTCTTGCTTTCCCGATCCTTGCTTTGATATCCTCGCCAGTTCCGCCTGCTTGTAGTTGAAACGATGCTTCCCAGGTATGTAGGTAAAGGAAGTTGTTTCTTTCAGGTTCATCCCATGTATGCTGATTGTTGTCTGTTGTTGTTTCTGTTGCTGTTGGCCAGGAATCTTCATCATCACCTCTGTTTTCTCTTTTTTCACCTGAAGTCCTATCTTTGATGCTTTGAGTGATATACACATATATATATTTTTCCTTCACGTTCCCCAGTGGAACATAGGGCTTCAAGCTAGTGGCTTGAAGTTTCTGTAGCAGGAGTGTTTATTTTTACAGGATGGGGTTGCTAGCCTCATGCCCAACCTTTCCTCTTTACCAGCATTACTTCTGGCTTAGCGAGGTAAAGCAGTGCGTCGGCCGGGGATCGAACCTCGGACCATGTGCATGGTCGGCCAGCGTCCTAACCGCTGTGCCACCGACGCCTCATATATACATATATATATATATCTGATAAATTGTTTGGTGTACATTTAGTCTCTTTACTTCATTCATTGCTTTATATGATCAGTTTTCGAGTCTTTACGTGAACATTTTGCCTATCAGTGGAGAAAAATCCAGTGTGCTTTGATCACCGAATGATTGATGCTTGCATATTAGGTCATAGGAAATATTAAAAAGACGATGACGGTGAAGAAAAATTTTCTCTATCTATGAGGTCATCAATTGGGTTGTACATTTGTCTGTTTTGTAGCCACTTTGGGTGGTTGGGTGGTGTAAGCTCCAGAACTATTTCCAGTCAAGCGGTTGAATTCAGTAAAGCATATTAGGATCATAATTGACTGAGAAAATTGACTTTCTTTGTGCAATTAAAGATGAACAACGTAGTTATAGCAACGGGGACAGGAAGTTCAGATAAAACGCATAGCAGTGAAGATCGGGATTGAAAAAAGTAAAAAAAAATAGCAGAAATAAACAAAAAGATTGGATAAGAAAGGTAGTAGAAGAGTGTAAACGTCTTTTTAAAAAAAAATATTTTCTGTATGCTTTGATCATCATGTTTTTCCGACTATAAAAATAAACAAAGAAAAAGGTGTAGGGGGGGGAGCATAGAGAGAGAATCTATTTTGAAGTAATTTTCACCTTAAACTCAATTCACTTAAATCAATTAGTGAAAACAAAACACTTCTCATCAACTGTGTTATCTCTAATCGATATTGATTCGTTGAGCAGAATTCCCTTGAAAGTTAGTCAATCCTTTTCCCAATCTTTGGACTGAATATCAGTCTAGTGCTCACCGGTAACTAACATCTCGGGAAAATATGTGCAAATAGTGAGGGAAGTCATAAATGGTGGGTTCAAACGGAATCACAGTTACTCGTTGATATTGCTGGTTAGCAGTAGTAGTACCATCTAGTGAATTGATGAAAGGTAAATGAAATATGACTCCTGCAATTTAAGGAATCCATTGTGTTAATCTGTCTCTCTGTCTGGTTTCGACATAGAACTTTGCACCGATGTACAGCAGTTCGAGTCGTCACACTTCACTCAGCATACAAAGCCAGAGAAGAAAGTAGAAGAAATGCCTAATAGAGACAGTAAACAGGGATATGAGACAAAAGGAATAGCAATAACGAAGAACAATATAGTTTTATTGGGTATTATAAGTCACAAGGAGTGGATGCATCTGCGCCAACCATTGAGAACAATTTTGAGCCACATCACCTATTGTCTCCAGCCATTGGTATTCACCGTCTCGGGGACCCCGACCAGGAAGTCTACACCTTCCTACGTAACTGGCTGGCTTAAACTAACTGTTGTGGATTTCATTGACTAATGAGGCCATATTTAGTTTGACCGCCGCTAGCTCTCTTCCAGCCTGACCCTACGTTAGCTAACGTTGCCCGTCAGTCGAGGAAGGCGATGGCTAGACGAGGCATACGTAACACATGTCCTAACCATCTCAGTCGATGTAACTTCACAGCCTTGTCGACTGATTTCCCCTCCCACCTACCTAGCACTCGACCTAGGCCTAACCTGAATACCGCTCATCCTATTATACTACTTAACACACGGGAGATAGAACTCAGGCACCTATAATAAAAGACAACTAGCAAGCCTTTTCATATCCTTCACTTTTAGTGGCCGTGTCTCACCAACAGCCATAAAGGAGGACGGAGCGAACTGCTGTGCTGAGCAGTACACACGCCCTTTGGTATTCGATAGACAACCGGATATCATGTCTGCTAAGCTAGTAGAGGTGGCGTAATTTGGCATATGCGAGACGAGCCTTCTGTATCTGTGGTGAGATTTCATCAGCTATCAAACCCGTTGGAGTTGGCTGACACAACTTCCCAAATAAGTGAAGTGGTCAACAGGCTCCATCAACCACTTCCCTCCCTATTTCTAAGCTAGGAGCCAGTGTGTTAATAGAAATATATTTATCGTGATACTTAATTCGATCCACAAATAGATCGATAGTAAACATTCCAATTGTAGAGGGGAATAGTTAGTACTTTTTCACAGGTGAATTAATGTCAATTAATAGTCTCATCTGAGCTAAGCTAACGTAACTATTTTCAATGGTTTCCCTTTGTTTTGTGTGAAAATGAATAGTTTCATAGTAGTACTACTACTATCAAGATGTGTCAGTGGTTCAACGATAGAATCCTATCGGAAAACACACGTGGTCTGGGGTTCGATCCCCAGACAAGACACTCCTCAACCTCGCCTAGCAGGTAGTCTGGTCGAGAGGAAAGGTTGGGCGTGGGGCCAGAAACCCCACTCTGTAAAGAGAATAACACCATTGCTACTGAAACTTACAAACTCAAAACTTGAAGCCTTGTGCTCAATTCAGAACGCAAAAAATAAAGTAAACCGATGTAAGAAAAACAATAAAGCAAAACACCCCTATGTTTCACCTTTATGGTTGACAGCACTGGATGAATGGCCCGTTAGCCACTGAATCAAGAACATGAATATACCAGCTGTCTTCGACTATAGGTGCCTGCGTTCTATCTCCCGTGTGTTAGGTGGTATAATAAGGGGAGCAATATTGAAGTTAGGCTTTGATCGAGTGCTAGGTGGGTAAGGAGGGGAAACCAATCGACGAGGCTGTGAAGCTACATCGACTGAGATGGTTAGGACATGTGTTACGTATGCCTCATCTAGCTATCGCCTTCCTCGACTGACGGGCAACGTTAGCTGACGTAGGGTCAGGCTGGAAGAGAGCTAGCGGCGGTCAAACTAAATATGGCCTCATTAGTCAATGAAATCCACAACAGTTAGTTTAAGCCAGCCAGTTACGTAGGAAGGTGTAGACTTCCTGGTCGGGGTCCCCGAGACGGTGAATACCAATGGCTGGAGACAATAGGTGATGTGGCTCAAAATTGTTCTCAATGGTTGGCGCAGATGCATCCACTCCTTGTGACTTATAATACCCAATAAAACTATATTGTTCTTCGTTATTGCTATTCCTTTTGTCTCATATCCCTGTTTACTGTCTCTATTATGCATTTCTTCTACTTTCTTCTCTTGCTATGTGTGCTACAAGGAGGGAGTGTGGCGACTTGAACTGCTGCACATATGTGCAAAGTTCTATGTTGAAAACAGACAAGTCTTGGTATGATGTAGGCTTTCATTTCACCCTCATTGTTGGTGCATGTTAAGTACTGGATGGAGTTAATCGAGAATCGTGTTTATTGCTGTCTGTGGTACAAAGAGTTTTGGTTCTCCGTCTAAATATGACTGAATATTCGATTTCCACGGGAACTATAGAGATTTGTCGGTTGTTGAGCTTACTTAACAAAGTCTAAACTACAGTTAAACCTCCTTTAAGACAAAGTGGCTTTCATTTGTAATACGATAATGTCTGCTTTTTAATTTTGTGGAAACTGACGCATAACTTTTTATGGTCATATTTTTATCTTGTGTTTCATTTCCTCTTAATTTTTTTTTTCAAGTTTCCAATGCGACATTTTCAAGCATTTATCGATGGAACATTGCGACCGAGTATTGTCCTCCGAAATCGAACCTTTAAGGACCGTTTCATTTATAATGTAAAGTAAGTCACTTCATTTGCTTTGCCTATGTGAAATTTTGTTGTTGTTGTTGTTGCTGTTGTTACTTTGTTTTTCTGGCGAAAAAGTGGGGCGTATGTTTTTTTTTTTAATATTCGACATACGAGATTGGTGCTGGCAGTGCTCAAATCCAAGATGCAAATTTATTCCTGTTTGGAACTCTTAAACTGAATATATTGGCAATTCCAGTTGTGTGTGTGATGGTGTTCTCCACTGGGACTCGAACCATACCCCCCATCGCCTCAAATGTCGAAGAATTATGCGTTGGGTTACAAAAGCCGCCACCTCTTGTGCAATGGATCTCGTCTGTTACTTATCCTTAGTTTAATTTCTCGTTTCCCGTTGATTAGTTATGCTGGACCGAAACAAATATTCGGTGTCTGTTCAGATAGGACAAATTTTGCATCATTAAATCCCATTGATCCTTTTATATGTTTTAAATTTTATTCATAAAGAAAATAACAGACAAATTTAGAGAGGAAAATTTTCTTTATCGACGAAATCATCTTCAGAGGCTGCCGTACAGTCGTATTTATATTTACCAAAAATGTATAGCAGTCCATAATTGAGTAATAGGGGGTGGCATAATTGATATAATGACTCAGAAGTGGCTTTGAAAGTGAAAAATAAACGTTGTGAATTACGTGGTACTCAACGGTACAAAGTGAGAAATTCGATAAGGTTAAAATTGCTGTTGAGTGAGTGAGAAGAAAGGTAGTAGTTGAGTGTCAATTTAACAAGTGTGAAGAGTGTGAAAATGTACAAAAGGAGCATATGAGATTGATAATAGTGAATTAATTATTAAAGCAAAAGCAAACTAAAAGTAAATTTAAAATTAAAAACAAAAGAAAAAATCAAAATTTTTTTACAGGGAACCATTAGTGAAGAGGTTAAGACCAAGGTAGAATAAGAGAGACTGGACAAACTTGTCTGTACACAGAGTTTGGAGTTGTATTGACGAATTGCCGCCGGCACCTCCGCCATACACAAAAGCCGAAACCTGACGCCATTTTGTACCATTTGACCTCACCTTGTAGATGATTTAGAAAGACGACTCTGGTTGAGCTGTGTGGCTTGAGTTCACCAAGAGCTCGAAAATTGAGCTAGTAATTGTCTTGCATTATCCTTTTGTTAATCATGCCCGATAATGTTCAGAGATGGGTTTGGAAAGTGTGCGCTTTGTGTGTGAGGCCAATATAACTAATTCCACACGAGCAGGTAAATTTATAAACACACATTGAAGTAGCCAGCCCAAAGTGGCAGTTTATCCTTCACGCATCCGTTTATCATTTGTCGGCTATAGAAACTGATCCGTGGTTCAGCCATAAAGAAGACTTTCCTCAGTGATCTGTATAAGCGATTCTTCAGGTTCTCAGCTGCTGTATCACTTTTAAATTCAACGCTCATAAACAGCAGCTTCTTCAGTAACGTCTGGGTTCTTTTAGGCTTTTTCCTTGATTTCATTTTTTTCTCGATAAATCTTGGAGGATATCCATTCTCTATGAGGACTTGTCTGAGTCACTCCAGTTCCCCGTCGATCGTATCACTGGAACATATCCTGTTTATTCTTGAGGATAAGGAGTGAATCAGGTTTCTCTTTCTTCTCAAAGGGACCCAACTATGAAAATTCGTGTACTGACCATTCCATGTTGTTTTCCTGTAGATTGATCTTTGAAGAGAACCATCAGATCTCCTTTTTAGAAAAACATCCAAAAAATAGAATTCCGAGTTCATCTCTGATTCCAACGTGAATTGAATGGTATGATGGCAGCTGCTGAACTCTTTAGTTATCAATTCGATGTCGGTATTGTCGTCACATATGATGAAAGTATCATCCATGTATCTCTGGTACAGATGGAAACTGTCGATAGTAGGCCGTAAAATACTATTCTCCAAACTAGCCAAGAAGCAGTCTGCAAGTAAAGGACCCAATGGTGGCCCCATTGCCACTCCAATTTCATTCTTTTTTCTTTCCCAGTTGAACTTAGGACTTCAGGCTGAAGTTTTGGTCGCAAAGGTGCTGGTTTTACGGGGTGATAGGGTTGCTGACCTCATGCCCAACCTTCCCTCTTTATCGGTCTTATTACCGGCTTAGTGAGCTTTACGATTGCGTTGGTGATATAGCGCAAAAGCGTTCTCAATGGCTGTCACAGATGCATCCACTCCAATAAAATACAATTGTTCTTCCATATCACTATTCTTTTTGCTTAATATTATTTATTATCCCTCTCTGCTTTGAATCTCTCTTTACTCTCTTCTCTTGCTTTGTGTGTTACATAGAGAGAGAGAGAGTGTGTGTGTGTGTGGCAACTTGAACTGCTGCACATCTGTGCAAAAGTTCTACGTTGTAACCAGAGTTAGGCATGGAGAGTATTTCACAATTTAACATTAGTCATCATATTATGTGCTTAATCGTAAACATAAATCATCACTCTACTGGTTGGCATTGAGTGATCATCTTGTAAGCGCTCTGTCTTTCCTCCACCCACACACTCAGAAGGGCCAAGTTTAACTTTAAGCACCACTAACTAACTACCAATGAAGTGCGATCACACCAATCACCTTGAAACACTCATTGAACAAGTTAGTTAGTGAAACCTGGCACATTATGTTGTCATCATCAATCCAAAAAAAAACGCTCATTGAAGTGTTATGTTATTAAATGAGATATATCTGGCAAGTTTTAGACTAGGTTTTTAGGGAAGATTCTGTCTGTCTGTTTTCGACATAGAACTTTGCACAAATGTGCGGAAGTTCAAGTCGCCACATTCCGTGTAGCACGCGAAGCAAGAGAAGAAAGTACAAGAAAAGCATAATAGAAACAGTGAGCAGAGGTGTGAGACAAAGGAGTAATAAAGAAATACAAAACAGTTTCACTGATGATCATAAGTCACAAGGAGTGGATGCATCTGCGCCACTGAGAACGGTTTTGAGCCATGTCACCAATTGTTTCCAACCATAGATTTTTACCGTCCCGAGGACCCCAGCCTGGAAGTCTACACCTTTCTACGTGGCTTAGACCAACTGTTGTGGATTTCATTGACTGGTGCCAAGATTTTGTTTGACCGCCGCTAGCTTTTTTCCAGCCTGACCCTATATCCACTAACATTGCTCGTCGAGGGAGGCGATGGCTTGGCATACGTAACACATGTCCTAACCATCTCAGTCTTTGTAACTTCACGACTTCGTCGATTGATTTCCCCTGTTTACCTAGAACTCGACCAATGCCTAACCTCCATGTTGCTCACCTTACTATGCCACTTTACACGGGAAATAGAGCGCAGGCACCTATGATCAAAGACAGCTAGTCTTTTCATGTCTTCCACTCTCAGTCGCCAGGTCTAACAGTTGGCCATAAAGGAGGACGGAGCGGACTGATGAGCAGTACACCCGCCCTTTGGTCGATAGTCGAACATCTCGTCTACGCCAGAGTCGGCGTAAACTAACAAATGCGAAACGAGCCCCTTGTATTCGTGCTGAGATTTCGTCAGAGATCAGCCCGTTGGGGCTGATGGTACTTCCCAAATAAGTGAAGCGGTCAACGTGCTCTACCACTTCACTTCCTATTTTTAAACTAGGCGTCGATGTAGTCCAGTCCTGTAACATCATCTTACATTTGGCGGGAGCGAATCGCATGCCAAACATTCGTAGATTGTGGCTCAAGGTGTTTAGTAGACTATGCATTTCGTCAGCGTCTTCGCCTAGAAGGACTATATCGTCTGCATATTCTAAGTCAACGAGATTATTCCCCGGTAGCAAGTCAATCCCTGAGTCGCTGAAGTCACCTAGGGTTAAGTCCATTAACACACACATCTATGATGAAGTTGAATAGAAAAGGGGATAATGGGCATCCTTGACGGACACCACTGGTCGTCATCAGTTCAGATGACAGCTCGCCGTAAGCCCTCACCTGGCTGTATGAGTACGAGTAGAGTTCCTTAATCAGTGCAATATATTTTCTTGGAATTCCCTTTACAGCCACGCATCTCCAGAGAACTTCCCGATCGACAGAGTCGAATGCTGCCTTTAGGTCAAGAAATATAATGACTGTTGGACGCCGGTAGGAATGCCTATGTTCTAGAATGGACACAAGTTAGGGTTAGGTTACCCTAATTAGCGCGACATTATGGTTAGTTCAAGTTAGATTACAGTTAGCGTTAGGTTTAAGAGAGATTAGGGTTAAAAGACCTAAATAATTACATGCATAGAATGTGGTTAAATTACTCTGTCGATATAAGAATAAAACTTGTGCGCTGCAGTGGTAGAGTGTAATTTCATTTTGGGTAAAATCTATTCTGACAAAGTCTCACATCGTGTTATACATTAGTAATATTTACTGATGACCGCGTTTCGAGCAAAGTTTATTGTCCAGTAAATGTTACCGTATAACACGATGTGAGATTTAATCAAAATAAATTTTACCCACAATGGAATTATACTCTATTGATACTCCAACCTAAAACTGACAGCTATTTTTATCACAGGTGAGAGGAAGGTATCCTCTGTAACACTTTTCTACAGTTTTTATTCATCTTTTTCATAAATGAATATGTATTCTATACACAAAACTGCCGCCTTCACGTGATTGGTGCGTTCAAGGTCATTCGCTGATTGGTTGGTTAGTTAGTTAGTGGTGCTTAAAGTTTCACTTTGCCTTCAGAAGCTAGAAAGCGCAAATATCTTCTGTTATATTTTTTACATATCCCCTTTTTCTTCTCACTGTATTTTAAGTAGTATGATATCATTTAAAGCCTTATGCGCATTTTGTTTTTTTTATCGTGAATTATTGAATTTCCTATCGATAACCTTTTAATTTTCTTTATATTGTCTATCACAGGGTTCAACGAACATTGGGTCGTTTTATAATGGGATTTATTGGGATAATTATCTTATCAAGGCTGTTGACAGTTTATCCTGCTGACACGTTGTTAACTGATGAGTTTAGAAATGTTAGTTTCTGTATTAAAGTGATGCATAATGTTCTGTTTTGGATAAGTGTGGCTTTTTTTTCCCTGCATACCATACTTTTATACGCATGTAATGTTGAGTTTTGCAAGTGTGTGTATGTGTGTGTGTGCATGTCTCACTATTGTAAACAGTTAATATTTCCAGCTAATTAGTCCTGTGCTGACATTCGAAACCATAGGAAAACCTTCGAGTACTGGACAGCTGGTTCGTCCTAGTTTGGGATTCTTCAGCAGTACGCACCCACCACAGAGGTTTTCGAACCAAGGACCTTCTGATTACAAGGCCAGTGAGCTCGTGGACCATTCATCAGCCACTGGGACCCGATCCAATGACCAGTGCATGAATTCTAACTTCTACGAATTCACAACATAGCGCGACCACTAGCCAATGTCTTCGGTGGCGTCGGTGGCACAGTGGTTAGGACCATGGTCCGACCATGCACATGGTCTGGGGTTCGAGCCCACGCCGGCGCACACCTGGTATCTATGGTCGGCCTGCGAAATTTGGGCAACCGATATCACATGCTGAAAATTCCATACTTGTAACAAAAATACGGTGTGGAATCAAGCTGTAATCAAAAAATAAAATAAAAAAATATTTGTTCTCACACCCGACCTGCTTCACCTTACTAGTCACGACTTCTCACTAGAACCCCCGAGGTAACTACCTACCTGAATGTGGCAAGTTGCTAGTAAGCATCTCATCGATATTCAAGTGTTGGTTTGTAGGGATTTGATTGATTGGTTACAGGATTTGCATCATGAGCTGACATTGGTTAGAGAACCACTGAAAAATCTGCCAGGGAGTACTGGACTGCTGTAACCGGAAGGTTCTGGGTTCGAACCCCAGTGTGTGGGTACTGCCGAAGAGCCTCAAACTAGGACGAAATAGCTGTCTAGTACTCGCTGGTGGTTTTCCAGTGGTTCTCTAACCAATGTCAGCTCATGATGAAATCCTGTAACCAATCAATCAAATCCCTACAAACCAACACTTGAATAAGTAATCCTGTGTTCGAACCTCAGTTCAGTCTCTACAGACTGGTGATGCTGCCTCAACGCTTCAGCTGTTGAATACTTACCAACCATGTTACACATAATCCAGGATTCGATTCCCGCCAGACGCACCCGTAAACCTTACTTAGCCGTTGATAAGCCAAGAGTAGAGAAGTAAGGTTGGACACAAGACGACTAGCAACGCCATCGCTGCTGGAACTTCAAAGCTTCAAGCTTATGAAGCTCTGGAACGCTCGCTTCTCCGGCCCCACTACTGCCTAACCAACCAGGCAAGGTTGGTTGAAGTGCGTCCTCAGAGAAAGAAATTCCGACTTTCCCACTTGGCTGGCGAGCTTTCTACTATTGAACCACTGACTTTATATATTAGTGTTCCAGTGTGATCAGCATTAAGCATTGCATAAACTCAGGTTATCTTTTTCCTAGTAATCAATCAATTGATTTTAGTAACAAATACAGTGAACTCTAACCAGTTATACAGTTCTTAAAAATGTATTACTCTCGGTCCCACTTACTCAACAACATGATTATTCCATTTTGTTTGACAAATATGCATGAATACGGTGTGTGTAAAGCGCGAGTACGATGACTGAACACTATTTAATCCGGTTTGTTTTGATTAACAAAGGTCTCTTTCATCTATGTTTTGTTTGCAATTGCCCTGAATAAGCACGAATTTCGATTTAGACCTCTGTATTTTCTAAAATAAATGTTACTACTAACTTACTTTACTTTGCTTCGGCTATCTCCTACGGGAGGATGAGCCGGCTTCATGAACAGAGTTCATGAAGTTTCATGGGAATTAGGTACGAGTGATGTCCCCAGAATCGCTCGGCCTTTTGTTTGAGAGTGCAGCTCTAGCCTTTACACAACCAAGTGTGACATACAAGGCAGTAGGAGTGGAGTAGGGAGTCCACTATCCATTGGCACCCGGTGACCGGAGTCCGGTTCACACGCCTTTTTGAATGGGGCCAGACATCCAGGGCATCCAATAAGCCCTTTGTCCATACGTCTGCCGGTGAGCTCCAGTGAGCTTCATACGCCAGTCGTTGGAGGTTTGGAATCAGGGTTTAGCCATCTCCCTTAGACTGTCATCCAATGGACAGTCAACCCGGTGAAGAGCGCCGGGCATCCGCTTTCGCCCTCTCACTTCGGTGAAAACACCTCCGCCACGTGAAGGCAGTGAGTAGAACTTCCTCAGGAGAGGCTATGTAAGACGCCCGGTCATATGGGAGCATTTCAAGAGGTGTACGGAGGAGTGGCCAACCCACAGCGCAAGGCACCCACCCCCGACCATCCTGAGGCTTTGGAGCTCTTTGTGAGCTCTTGTCCTGGATTATTTTGCTGTAAGTCTTCGTCTTATGAAACTACAACGATCGTGTGATGGCTTAGGAAATGTGTTATGCAGGATGGATCACCGCTTTTCTCGACGAGCAATGCTGTTAGCTGACAGTACTAGATTAGAGAAGAGTTGTTGAAGATGCTCAACCCGAAACATGGCATCAATTTATAAAGTCTTTCATAACTGGTTTAAGTTAGCCACTTGGAGACTTTCTGGTTGGGGGTCCTTGAGATGCTAAGGGAGACTACTCTTGATATGATGCAAAGTCATTTTTGGATGGCACAGATCCATACACTCTTCGAGGATCCCTGTCGTGTTTCTCCATGTGATTATTATTTCTCCTGTACACATTTCTGTATATTATCATCACTGTTTTGAGTTGCTTTCGTATACCTTCTGTACAAAGTTTTATGATGTTGTAATCCATTCAGTCAGTCCGTCCGTCGATCTGAACAAGTCTTAAACACGTTTGACTAAGAGGAGTGAAGGTGATTCGTAACTGAGGTCTGTGTTCTCTAAGTTGGATGGCTTTATAACTGCAAAGTCTGCCATGCCCTTTATCTTTAATTTTAACGCTTAACAATGGTAGGCTATCCAGTCGACAAACATTTGATGATGAATTACAATCTAGAGAACCTTGTTTGACACAGAATCAATGAACTATGATAGAAGTATAATAAAGTCGACAAATCGTATACACTAAGAGAGGAAACACTCAGATCTCAGTTATCTGTTTGAAGTCCTCAGTATTGTGGTGTATATTAAAGCCGGAGAATATTAAATCTAATGATATAAGATGGTTGGAGGCAATCGGCCACAGGAAGCCTTGCCAGGACCTAGGTTTCGTGGTAGTTGGCACTCGCCACTGGTCCCTTCTGAGATTCGAGCCCCCGCGTCAACCAGTGCTGCCTGCAGTCAGAGACGTTACCATCGAGCTGTTGAGGCTCACAATTGACCTCCTGTAGGACTGCGGTGGATACTTGTATTGGACACTAGTCCAGTAACTTATGTGATGTGTCTGGCTAGTCCTTGGGTATTGGTGCAGACTGAATTCTACCAGTCAGGCTTCCTGTGTCCGATCGCCTCCAACTATCTAATATCATCAAATCAATATGCACCGTGATGGAGAGAGCCACCTAGTGGCATGGTGTGTTCACATTGCAGACTTGACTGACTGATAGAATTCAGTGTGCACCAAATAAAGGACTAGCCAGACACATCACACTAGTTACTGACTAGTGTCCAGTCGAAGAACATTCTCATATTACTTTGTTTACTAGAAGTATCACACACAGTCTGTGAAACAGTATTAGTTATTTACTCGGTGACACAATTTGGAATAAAATTTATTGTTCATAATCATCATGTCATCAATTATAATCACACACGACTTCAAAACTTGAGTTTTATGGTTTTTTCTTTGTTCTCTCCTATTTATCGTCGTTAGGGTAGTAGAATTTTCCAGATATCTGGGTGGACAGGTGTTGAATCATTCCTATTACACGTATTCTCGTCGATTGATTAGATAAACAAAGCTTCTGTTGACATCAATCTCTCCCTTAAGGAATCTAAATCATCAGCAGTAATTCCATAACATTACGGCGGAGAATTCTTAACAAGGCAGGAAAGAAAGTGGTTGGCATTCAAACCCACTCACAAACTCAATTAGAAAGAAGCTTTGTCGGTTAAAGGATCACTTCTCTGGAGCCTTTGAAACTAAACAATTTAGTTTTATCTAATACCCTGCCTGCAATGATTGTCAGGTCAAATAAATAGGTCAAAGTAGTAGAACAGAGGGACAGTCAGTCAGACGAACCGAGCATAAAAACCTACCAGTAAAATCTAGATTAGTTGACCTAAATATGATATGAAATCTAGGGAATAGTTCAGCCATAGCATTACATACAATCACACACGACCATACAAAAGGATGGGACAGGATGACAGTGTTAAAATCTAATCTAATATAACAGAATGGAGGGAGAGATTGATGTCAACAGAAGCTTTGTTTTGTCGAATCAACTGCAAATACTTGTAATAGGAATGTTTCAGCACGCGTCCCAGATATCTGGAAAATTCTACAACCCCAGCGACGAGAAATAGGGGAAGACAAAGGGAACTATAAAACTCAAGATTCGAAGTCGTGTGTGATTATAATTGATGACATGATGATTATGAACTATGAATGAATTGTGTTCGAAACTTTGTCATCCAGTAAATAATAATACTGTTTCGCTGACTGTGTGATACATCTAATAAACAAACTAATATGGAATGACTTCTGTCTGTCTGTCTGTTTTCGACATAGAACTTTGCACAAATGTGCGGAAGTTCAAGTCGCCACATTCCGTGTAGCACGCGAAGCAAGAGAAGAAAGTATAAGAAAAGCATAATAGAAACAGTGAGCAGAGGGGTGAGACAAAGGAGGAGTAATAACGAAGAACAAAACAGTTTCATTGGAGATCAACAGTCACAAGGAGTGGATGCATCTGCGCAGCCACTGAGAACGATTTGAGCCATGTCACCAATTGTTTCCAACCATTGGTTTTTACCGTCCCGAGGACCCCAGCCTGGAAGTCTACACCTTCCTACGTGGCTTAGACCAGCTGTTGTGGATTTCATTGACTGG